TCTGTTGAAAGGCCCAGATTCTGAATTCATTTTTATGAAAATGTGATGCCATTAAACATAAAAAGCATGAATGGAAACAACAAAGACTTAAGTTTTGGGAGGAAGAGAGACTTAAGTGTCAAACACTACTAGGTTTCCTCTCTCTGCTATGGTTATTACCACTGATCCCAACAACTCTGAACCCAGACTGAATACCCTTCCCACCTAAATGGCAAACACCAGTCACCTGACATCCCCACCACTTAGTTCTTTAATGTGAGAAGTACCTTTGACTAGACGGAGCCACATGCAGTCATTCACTCTCATCTTCCACATCAACTCCTGCAACGAAAGCTTAGCAAACTTCCCCATGGAAATGAACGCTTTTACATTTTTTAAGAACCGGCACTTGTTATGGTTTGAACCCCAAAGCTCAGCGGGGATGACCCGCTCCAGGCACTCCCCCCCTGCCAGTGGCTGCTGTGCTGCTTGAGGAGCTCCCCGAGGGCTGAATCACACACCTCTCCCGAGTTTTGCTCCTCACTCTGAGACTCCTCAAGCACAGATTTTCCAAGAGGAGCACTTAAGTTGTCTGGCACATCAGTGTGACCAGATTCACAACTGCTGCTTGTCACAGACTTAGAAGGCTCTTTCCCAAACTGTTCGACTTGGTCATGAACCTCTGCTTCCCCAGGCAAGGCTGCCTGACAAGGCAGCTCAGTTTTTCTCACATTGGTTTCAGATATCCAGACAGGGCAATTTTTTTTCAAGAGAACTAAGTAAGGGCACTTTCCATGGTTCCTTAACAGTTTCTGAAACGTCTGTCTCATTTGCCAGTAGCGTTTGGGCAACCTCTTCTTTCTCCAGCTGTGATGTGGCAGACTTTGGTTGTGCTTTTGCTCCAAGGGATTTTGGCTCAAGAATATAGCTTCTATAAGCCGCCTTCCACCTGCCTGACAGCCCTGCAAGCGATTCAGTAAAAACGATTTAGGAAAACCTTCTTGGAAACTCCTGTGAGAATACAGAAGAAACTTCCTGTCAACATATACTGCAGAGCGCAAGAGCGTATTTGGTAACTTCTTTGCCAAATGAGCTAGGGGACTTTCCTGCCTTCTGCATTTTGAAGAAATACCCTCCATGGGTTTGATTTGTACAGAATCCAACTGAGATCTACGCATACGCATCTCTACTCCTTTCCTGTGGGATTCTGCTTGCATTTCAATGATGGACTTTAAAGGTTTTTTACTCTGATCTCCTCGCAGAAAAGAGCTTTCACCTGCCACAAACTTCTTCCCGTCGCGAGATGTGTGAGCTAAAGAAGGACCAGACATATCACTGTTACTTCTTTGAGAAATGTGGGGGTTTTTAATGAGACTTACAGAATGTGATGCTACACACTCAGTTCCGTATCTCCTGGAACTACTACTTTGGTTTACATCAGGAGTGATATTACAAGCCCTTTCCTCTCTCACTTTCTCTTCTACTTTAGCTCTCTTAGCTGGAATTTCGTGTTGTTCCCTATCAAGTTTCCTTTTTAAAGATGGTGCTGCAGCTGACAAATATAAACTGGAGCTACTCTGTTTTTCCAGATGTTCAGTAACCACTCTGATCTGTTTACTTGCTTTAGAAACAGCTTTTGCAGAACACTGGTAACCGGACACTAAGCTTTGTAGCTTGTTATTTTTATTTTCCATGCTGGGGGCATTAGCTTCAAGTCTTTGTCTGCATTTCCACCAATGCGACTTTGAAAGATACTGTCTATGAAACACCAGCCTTTTTTGTATATAGTCAAGCAAGCTACTACGTTTATGCTTTGAGAACCTTTGTTTAACAAAGACTGGGGATGCGTCCACATTGTGTGAAATAAGTTCATAAACTGGTTGCCCGCAAACCTGGTAACAACTACTAGGGGGAACCAGCATAAAGATTGCACAGTGTTCCAATAAATACATCATCACATCATCGCCTATCCTGCTCAGCAGTGTTTCCCAGAGGCCACTGATACGAATAGTTTCTGTTGCAGTATTGGGTAAGTAGCTGTATATATTTGAAGACGGCATGATTTGGAAGTGAGAACTGTTTTCGTTCAGTAAGGAGTATCCATACGCGAGGACATTCTTCTTTCTTTTTTCACACAGTCTCTGAACGACCCTTGCAATGACTTCGCTCTGACTAGATAACTGAAGAAAGAAAGAAAAAAGAAAATTAGCTTTTATCACCAACTCTTCCACAAACTGCAATACACGCTTTAAATAAACAGACACGAAAGATACGCAGCCCTAGACATAAGCTTCGGATCAAACCCTTTTGAACCAATATTAATGAATCACAAATGCCATAGCCGAAGAGAAAGATTTTTCAAGCATACCACAAGATGTTTACAAGCAGCAACACGGGCCTACGACTTTAAGGAAGTCTTTTTAACGGCCGCCCTTTTGATCCTGGTTTTCATGCCCAGGAACACCCTACACTACTCCCCTCGGCTCCCTCAGCAACCGGGACTCCAGGGCCTTCAGGTCACCCTCCCCGTAGGTACGTGCTCACGCAGGCTCTAACCTCCAGGGAACTAACACTGATTTTCTTGAGGCCTCCATTTCCTTTTACGTAAAGAAAAGTTCAACCCAACGACTCAGTTCACAATTCTAAAACTCGCTCGGCGAGCTTGCAGAGTGCGTTTCCCACCGTAGCCCGGCTTTGCTCGCGCAGGCAGGAGCTCCGAGAGGAAAGCAGCCTTTCCTCTCTGGAAAGTTTCTTCTGCTTAAGCACCGACCCCGTAAAAGCAGCTTTCCTCCCCTTCTTCTCTATCCTCTCAAGAGTGGGAAAGGCGTTTTTCCATCTCCAGTTGCTCCCCGGCCACACGTGGTTTGTTCACCCCTACCCCACCGGGCAAGCAGGCAGCCCGG